ATAGATTCGGTTATCCATTTGTATGGCTTTACTGCATCTACATGGGTCACACTATACCATAATAGTATTTTTTATCAATTTATCGTTATTGAGGTATGCTTACCAAACTCCCAGTTACTTTTGTTGCATATCCCTTAGGTATAAATCTCAGTCCTTTAATGCTCCTTCATTACCGTCCGTCTTAAGAAGGATGGCGTAATCTCATGTCATACTTTGTAACTTGTATTTGTCCATTGTTGATTCACCTCAATGTTGATCTACGATTCTCCACTTGAAGATTTGAAGCTTCTTACGTAATATATTGCCGCTAGGGCTTACATTGCATTAGAATATTTGAAGTGATTTCCATAATCGTATTTCATAGTGTCTCAATGTAATTCCCCTTATGGGAGGTATCCTAATCTCATGCCGTCAGTGAAATATTTTCTCCTTTCTTTTTTTTTCAAAATCATTATTCAAACGAAGGTTCAAATGTCATTCTTTATCTACCACAATTACACCCTCATCTCTTTCAAATGATATTAGTCTTAGACTTCTTTGAGTTCATTCAGGCTATACCGAGCTTTCTATGACTTAGGGAAACCATTAGCTCGGTTGTTTTCATGGGTTTAATCCTGAGGACTTATCCATTCTCGTCACCTTCTCACTTTCCCTCTCTTTTAACATGCCTTGAATACCTTACTATCATGGCATTGTAGTATTTTGTATGGCACTAGTCCATAAATATCGGGTATTTTAGCTCGTGTTGTATTTTATCCCAAAATGCCAAACTCTGACCAAATTTGTTTTTCTTAGACTTGCTCCCCCTTTCACCTTCATGAATATACTAATCACTTGTGAAATAGCATAATCCTTATAATCCCCAAATAATCTTTTCCTTGGACTGATGTCAATTACCTTACGACAAATTCAACGTAAAATACTGGAGGGCGCAACATTGTCATAACTTAATACTGCAAAGCATAACATCACCGTAATATAATACTGCAGGACGTAATATCGTCAAAATATACTACTGCATAGGGTAACATCATCGTAATATATTATTGTAGAGCATAACGTCAACGTAATACTGCGGGGCGTAACATTTTTCTAACAACTTACACAAGGGTTTCACCACTTTTGAGAAATCCTTGATGAAGTGACGGTAAAACCCCACGTGAGCTAGAAAGCTCCTCACTCCTTTGACGGAAGTAGGAGGAGGAAGTTTTGATATCATTTCAATTTTTGCTTTATCCACTTCAAAACCATTCTTGGAGATCTTGTGGCCGAGGACAATGCCCTCTTCGACCATAAAGTGGCACTTCTCCCAATTAAGCACCAAGTTGGTCTCTTCACAACGTACCAATACCTTATCAAGATTATCCAAAGACGCTTCAAAAGAATCCCCCACAATAGAGAAATCATCCATGAAAACCTCGAGGAAGTCCTCTACCATATCCATGAATATTGTCGTCATATATCGCTGAAAAGTAGTCGGTGCATTACATAAACCAAACAGCATCCTTGAGAATGCAAATGTGCCATACAGACAAGTGAAGGTGGTCTTTTCCTGGTCTTCAGGTGCAATAAGAATTTGGTTATATCCGGAATACCCATCCAATAAGCTATAATAAGCACGTCCGACTAGCCTGTCCAACATCTGATCAAGAAATGGAAGCGGAAAATGCTCTTTCCGAGTCACTTTGTTAAGCTTCCTATAATCCATGCATACTCTCCAACCGGTAACAGTTCTTGTGGGGATCAACTCATTTTTATCATTTGTAATCATAGTCATGCCCCCTTCTTTGGGATACATTGTACCGGTGAAGTCCATGAACTATTAGAAATGGGGTAGACAGCCCCAGCATCCAACCACTTGATGATATCTTTCTTGACTACCTCTTTCATGGACTCATTCAACCTTATTTGATGTTCTACTGAGGGTTTGGCATCCTCCTCCAATATTATTTTGTGCAGACAAAAGGCGGGGCTTATACCCCGAATATCCGCCAATGTCCAACCCATTGCCTTCTTCCTCCTTTGGAGCACCGCAAGAGTAGAATCTACCTGCACGTTAGTGAAGCACAAGGAAAGAATAGCAGGTAAAGTGGAACAAGGGCCTAAGAACTCATATCTGAAGTGTGAAGGCAAGGGCTTCAACTCTAATATGGGAGGCTCCTTGATTGAGGGCTTTGTTGGTGGAGTCTTCCAGTTTTCAAGGTCCAAGGAAAGTTTTCGGGGCTCATATATATATGATCCTATTCCTTGCAAAGCATTGACACATTCTACCAAGCCTTCCTTCTTATCCTCATCATGATTCAATAACACAGCTTCCAATGGGTCTTCAACATTAATCACAACACTTATGTCATCAACAATTACTTCGGTCACAAGATCCACAAATGAACACATTTCGTTGCTATTAGTTTGCCTCATTGACTTACAAATATGGAACACAACTTTTTCATCACCCACCCGGAAGGTGAGCTCCCCAGAGTCCACATCAACTAAGGCCTTCCCTGTAGCTAGGAAAGGTCTCCCTAATATGATTGGAACCTTGTAGTCAACCTCACAGTCAAGTATCACAAAATCTGCGGGAAGTATGAACTTGTCGAACCGAACTATCACATCATCAATTATCCTCAATGGCCTCTTCATTGTCCGGTCTACCATTTGCAACCTCATGGATATGGGACTTGGTTTTCATATCCACAATGTCTTGAACACAGAATAGGGCATCAAGTTAATGCTTGCCCCCAAGTCACATAAAGCTTTGGCGAAATCGGCACTACCAATAGTGCATGGGATTGTAAAGGCACCGGGGTCTCCTAACTTTGGATCCATAAAGTGCACAATGGCACTCACTTGATGTGTCATTTTGATCGTTTCACAGTTCATTGATCTCTTCTTTGTTACCAAGTCCTTCATGAACTTGGCATATCCCGACATTTGTTCTAAAGCTTCAACCAATGGCATATTTATGGACAAACTTTTCATCATATCAATGAATTTCTTGAATTGATTCTCATTGTTTTGCTTTTCAAGCCTTTGAGAATATGGTGGAGGAGGCCTTGGCAAAGGAGCCTTGGCTTTGGGCACTACCGGATCCAGTATGTCTATTACATGTCCCCTAGACGGGTTCACATCATCTTGTGTCTCCTCCACATTTTTATCAATGTCTATCCTCACTTCATCATTTACTTGAACCTCATTGCTTGGCTCATCATCATCTTGCATCACCACATCATCATTCACAATCTTTCTTAAGTTTGAGGTACTGGCAATTCCACCTTTCCCACTTTTTGTAGTCACCACCATAGCGTGCCACGTATTGTTCCCACCCTTTAAGTCTACTACCGTATCACTTGGTAGTGCCCCCTTAGGACGAGTATTCAAAGCTTGAGAAATCTGGTCAAGTTGTACTTCCAAGTTGCGGATAGAAGTGTTGTGGGAGGCTAATTGGGCATCAGAGTTGGCATTCTTCTCCATCATTTTCTTGAATATGTTTTCAATCCGTCCCATCTCATTGTTGGAAGAACTAGGACCTTGTGACAGATATGGAGGCGGGTTGTTTGGTTGTTGATACATCGTGGGTCTTTGAAAGCCTGATCCCCAATTTCCTTGATTATTGTTGTTCCAAACCCCTTGATTGTTATTGCCTCCCCAATTACTATTATTGTTGCCACCCCAATTGCCTTGATTTCCTAGATTGCCCCAATTTTGATTGTTGTTGTTCCCCTAATTGCCTTGGTTGTGTTGTTGCCACTATTCCAATTTTCTTGTTGACCTTGATTTCCCCAATTTCCTTGGTTTCCCTGTGATCTTCACTGTTGTTGATTCGGAGCATTGCTCTGTTGACCTTGATAATTGTTGACATATTGAACCTCTTCACTTTGATCATCATATGAATCATCTTAATTGTACCCACTACCACTTTGCTCAAATTGATCTAGATTGTTTTGAACTTGTTGACCTCGTTGCCTTCTCTTGTTGACTATCATGTTCACTCCTTCCATGGCATTCACTTGTTTTGGTCCTTGAACTTGTTGAAGCTGAGCTTTGGCCAATTGGTTCATGGTAGTTGTCAACTCGGCTATAGTTTGCCCGTGGTCATGTATCTCCTTGTGTAGGTAAATAACATTAGGGTCACCTTGTGGCACATTGACTCTGCTTTGCTACACCGAAGAGGTATCCGCCATCTCATCAAGTATTTCACAAGCTTCGGCATATGGCGTGTTCATGAAGTTCCCCTCGGTGAGTTGGTTAACCACACATTGGTTTGTTATGTTGATACCCCTGTACAAGGTCTGTTGGATCATGGCCTCAGTCATATCATTGTTCGGGCACTCTTTGACCATTGTTCGGTATCGCTCCCAAATCTCATGCAAGGATCTCATCTCATAGCGTTGTCATATGACCCGGAGAAAAGAACTTTGCGATGAACTTCTCGGCCAACTCATCCCAAGTGTGTATGGAATGGTTGGGTAACCTCTCTAGCCAATCCAAAGCCTTCCCCCTAGAGAAAATAGGAAAAGCCTTAACCTCAATGCGCCCTCGAAAACATTAGTCTGTTTGCTCCCCCAGCATGTGTCAACAAAACCTTTGAGATGCTTATAGGCATTTTGGTGTGGAGCTCCGGTGAAGAAACCCTTATGTTCCAACAGAGCATGACATTGGTTATTTGAAAGTTGCCCGCCCTAATACGGGGCAGGACTATTGCACTTAATTTTGATCGCGGCCGCACCATGGCTTTTGCGGCCGCACAATATTGGTGTGGTCCGCACTTCAGGCTTCTTTATCCAGTCTTTTGTTCAACATTTGACTCCTTTGTGAGTTGGTTTTGATTCCTTTGGCTCATTTTGAACAATTCCTGCATGCAAGCGCATTTCATTAGTTTCCGAGAATACCTTCAAACCTTTTTGGCCTAAAACACAAGTAAAAGAGAGCATATAATAGGTCTAAATCCCTACTTATCACCAGCGACGTTTGAAGTTGAGGTAACCACACCCTTAATTATGATGGTAGCACCTACTCCATCTTACCAGTCTAAAGTTATACCATGGGATTATGTCGCAGAGGAAAGATGGAAAGGAAAAGCGAAAGTGGAAGAAATAGATGCATCACAAGGCATGACTAGAACCGGTAGGGTTTATACACTAGAGCATTTGGGAGGAACAAGCAAAGAAACTGCATCTAAGCCTCTTATCATTGAGACTATCCCTGACGACCTTTGGAGGAAAGTGTAAGCAAGAGAATACTCTATGGTCAATCATTTGAATAAAACTCCTACCTAGATATCCATCTTATCACTGCTGCAAAACTCCGAGACACACAGGAATGCCCTGATGAAGGTACTCAGTGAAGCCTATGTACCCACCAACATCACTAGTGGGGAAATGACCAACATGGTCGGATAGGTGTTAGAAAGCCACAAAATCACTTTTCATGAATATGAGCTGCCACCGGAAGGACTAAGTCACAACAAGGCACTGCATATCACAGTGCAATTTGAGGACAAATTCATCGCCAGGGTCCTGGTAGATGGGGGTTCAAGTATCAACATATTTCTGCTGACTACTCTTAGGAAGCTGGTTAAAGGTCTGCATAAGATACAAGCAGGAAGTATGAATGTGAAAGTGTTTGACGGATATCAAAGGGCCACGATCGGAGAAATTAATCTCAGCTTATAAATGGGTCTGACTTGGTTCGATGTTGAGTTCCAAGTGTTGGATATATCCGCTACCTACAATCTACTGTTGGGACGACCTTGGATACATGTTGCAGGGGCCTTAGCCTCTACTTTGCATTAGGCTGTGAAGTTTGAATGGAATCATTAGGAAGTGATCATCCATGGAGATGGGAGTAATCCCATCTATACTAATCAGACTGTTCCAGTCATCAAGAACAGGAGGAAGCTGGGTGGAGAAACATATCATCGCATTGAGTGCGTCAATGCAATTGAAAAGGAAAAATGGTGGAGCAACAAGATAGAAAGCACATTGCTATGGATAGGGTATGATCCTAGCAAGGGTCTCGGCAAGAATCTCCAAGGGATCACCAAACCGGTACAGCTGAAGCGTCACGGTACCACTTTCGGGCTTGGGTATGAATACACTTGGCAAGAGTATCAGGATTGGTCGCCACCATGGCGTGATCCTTATTATCCACTGGAATAACCAGTACCACATTTGCAACAGACATTTCAACAAGCTGACATGATGTGGGGGTCTGAAAAAGATGAAGCTTTAGCTAGCATAAGGGATCTATTTATGGATGATGAAGACATGGACTGCAGTGTGATAGTTGAGGAGGAGGAGGAGGAAGACCTTACTATTTATATTATGGAAAAAGAAGTTGTTCTCAAGAACTGGACTGCTGCACCATCCCGGGCCAGTCAAGTTCCTGGGTATCCTGGCAATTAGCGTCAATTATTATTTTTTAAAAGCAATTTTATGAGCATCTAAGACACTTTCAGTAATTGTTTTGAACGTATTCTGCTTTGAAATAATTGCTCGAGTCATTGAGTCGTACTTGTTTTGATGTTTTCAAGATTTATTTAATGCATTGATATTTTTAGTATTTATTATCCTTTACGTTTTTCTCTACAATGTTATTATTACTTATCCTGATGAACTTATGACTGTGACATGTAATGAGACAATGCAACATAAGGATAGTGATTCAGAGGATCTGTAGGATGATGTAATACCTGAGAAAATTGTCAGAGAAGTGGAAATTTTTGAAAATGAGCCTAAGTCTAATTTGGACGAGACCGAGACGGTTAACTTAGGGGATTCCGAAATAGTCAAGGAAACCCGTATAAGCATTCACCTATCACCATCAGAGAAGGAAGAGTACATCATGTTCCTGAAGGAGTATGAAGACATATTTGCATGGTCTTACGATGATATGACTGGTCTGAGCACATCCATAGTGGCTCACAAGTTACCCACCGATCCTATGCGTCCACCAGTGAAATAGAAGCACAGAAAATTCAAGCCAGATATGAGTTTGAAGATAAAAGAGGATGTCACTAAGAAAATCAAAGCCAAGGTTCTCAGAGTGGTTGAATATCCGACTTGATTAGCCAACATTGTGTCGGTTCCGAAGAAGGATGGAAAAGTCAGAGTATGTGTCGATTATCGGGATCTAAATAGAGCAAGTCCCAAAGATGATTTCTCGTTGCCCAATATACACATACTAATAGACAATTGTGCCAAGAATGAACTCCAATCTTTTGTGGAATGCTTCGCGGGGTATCATCATATTTGGATGGATGAAGAGGATGCTGAAAAAGACAGCCTCTATCACACCATGGGGGATGTATTGCTATAAAATGATGTCGTTTGGCCTAAAGAATGCTGGAGCCACTTACATGAGAGCCATGACAACCATTTTCCATGACATAATACACAAGAAAATAGAGGTGTACGTGGATGAAGTCATCATCAAATCCAGAAGAAGTACGGATCATATAGCAGACTTGAGAAAATTCTTTAATCGGCTTCGAAGGTACAATCTGAAACTGAATCCTGCAAAGTGTGCCTTCAGAGTCCCTACCGAAAAATTGCTAGGTTTCATCGTCAGTCGTCGAGGGATTGAATAGGACCCATCAAAGGTCAAAGCTATCTGACTTTCCCTACCTGACTTTCCACCTCCAAAGAACAAGAAAGATGTGATGAGTTTCTTAGGGCGTCTCAACTATATCAGCCATTTCATAGCACAATCAACTGTGATCTGTGAACCAATTTTCAGAATGTTGAAGAAAGATTCTACAACATATTGGACAGAAGAAGGCCATAAGGCCTTCGACAAAATCAAGGAGTATTTATCTAAACCACCTGTTCTTGTCCCATCGAAACTAAGGACACATTTGTTGCTTTATTTGTGAGTACTAGATGGGGCTTTTGGTTGTGTTTTGGGACAACACGATGAGACAGGAAGAAAGGGGCATGCCATATATTATCTGAGTAAGAAATTCACACCCTATGAAGCACGGTACTCTTTGCTAGAGTGCACCTGTTACGCTTTGACATGGATAGCTCAAAAGTTGAGGCACTACTTCTGTGCCTATACCACATATCTCATATCAAGAATGGACCCGTTAAAATATATCTTCTAGAAACCCATGCCTACCGGAAAGTTGGTGAAATAGCAAATATTGCTGAGTGAGTTCGACATCATCTATTTAACTCAGAAGGCAGTCAAAGGGCAAGCATTGGCAGATCATTTGGCAGAAAATCATGTAGACGGAGAATACGAAGCATTAAAAACGTATTTTCTCGATGAGGAAGTACCATTTGTGGAGAAGACATCACTGAAGCATACGTTGGTTAGAGGATGTTCTTCGACAAAGCCGCGAACTTCAAAGGAGTAGGTATTGGAGTTGTCTTAGTATCAAAAACCGGCCAACACTATCCGGTATCCGCAAACTTTAGGTTCCCATGTACCAACAGTATGACAGAATATAAGGCTTACATCTTGGGACTCAGGTTGGCCATTGATATGAACGTAAGATTCTGATCTTTTGGTACATCAAGTTTGAGGAGAATGGGCTACCAAGAACACCAAGATATTACCATGTCTGTACTATGTGCAAGAGTTGATCAAGAGGTTCATGAAGATAGAATTTAAACATGTTCCGAGGATTCAGAATGAGTTCGCAGACGCATTGGCCACTATATCTTCCATGATATAACACCTAGCCAAGAATTTCATCGACCCTATCCCAATAGGAATTCATAAGCAACCAACTTATTGTGCTCATGTTGAAAAACAAAGTGATGGAAATCCATGGTTCCATGACATCAAAGAATACCCGGGAAAAGGAGAATATCCGGAGCATGCAACTCATACTCAGAAACGTATACTCTGAAGGTTAGCCAACCACTTCTTTCAAAGCGGAAGAATTCTATATAGAAGGACTCCTAACCTAGGGTTACTACGGTGTGTTGATGCTAAGGAAGCATCTAGGCTGCTCGAGGATATACATGTCGGAACTTGCGGACCGCACATGAATGACTTTGTTTTAGCCAAGAAAATATTAAGAGCAGGATATTTCTGGATGACCATGGAAACAAATTGCATTAAATATGTCCAGAAGTGTCACCAATGCCAGATACATTCTGATATGATACGAGTACAACCCAATAAACTTAATGCAACAAATGCACCATGGCCTTTCTCCGCTTGGGGAATGTATGTCATCGGCTCAGTCGAACCCGCTGTTTCTAATGGACATAAATTCATTTTGGTGGCCATAGACTATTTCACAAAATGGGTTGAAGCCACATCCTACAAGGTTGTAACAAGGCTGTAACTAAGAAGGTCGTCGTAGATTTTGTTCGGGATCGCATTGTTTGTCAGTTCAGGGTTCTAGAGTCAATCATCACCGGCAAAGATGCCAATCTTAATAGTGATTTAATAAAGGCTATGTGTGAAACTTTCAAGATCAAGCATAAGAATTCCACAGGATATAAGCCGCAAATTAATGGAGCCATAGAAGCCGCCAATAAAAACATCAAGAATATACTGAGGAAAATGGTACATAATTACAAACAATGGCACGAGAAGCTACCATTTTCTCTGCTTGGATATCGTACCACAATTCACACATCGACTGGGGAAACTTCTTATTTATTAGTTTATGGTACTAAATTAGTTATCCTGGCTGAAGTAGAAACCCCTTCTCTAAGAATCATACAAGAAGTTGAGCTCAGCAATGCAGAATGGGCACAAAGTCGCTATGAACAACTGGCCCTCATTGATGGAAAGAGAATGAATGCATTATGTCACGGTCAACTCTATCAAAACAGAATGGCAAGAGATTTCAACAAAAAGGTCAGACCAAGGCAATTCACGCAGGGGCAATTGGTACTAAAACGAATCTTCCTGCATCAAGACAAAGCTAAAGGAAAATTTTCACTCAGTTGGCAAGGTCCCTACATGGTTCATCGGGTACTAATAGGAGGAGCGTTTATACTTGTAGAAATGGACGGAGAAATTTGGAAAAAACCTATCAACTCAGACGCAGTCAAGAGATACTATATTTAGGATTGTTTACATTTCTTCGTTTGATGTAACTGAACTACGCTTGACCTGATTCCCGTTTAAGAGGGGACACGTAGGAAGCCCTATGGGTTCGGTCACATCTTAATAAAATCTTCATTTTGCCATGATCAGAAAACTGGGGCAGAATTTTGGGGTGGATCCTCAAAATTCTAGAGCAAGTTCAGCCGACTTAGTCATATACGGAACAACCAAAGTATTGCATTTAAACTGGGGACCCTCAAAATTCTAAGGCAGGGAGGTTGCAATGTCCCCAAAATGTGTCACCGTTATCGGTTCATCTAAATTACGCATACTACTACATTTTAAACAACTATATTTATCAAATGCATGCATATGTTTTGAAAATTGTATTTCTATGGCAGCCAGATGTTACCCAGGTTAACTCAAACAGGATCTCAAGATAAGAGCACAGGTAAAGCAGAGGACGAAAGCGCGAACCAACCTTCCCCCATAGAACTCACAATCTTTCTTTGAATGCAGGCACAATAAGACAACGATACTCGCAGATACATCAAGACACTGCCTTCAAGACAACAAATTATCTAGCGCAAACATCTTCAACTAAGAAATACTTTACTCTCTCATTGTCCCCCTAATTGCATAAGGCTAAGCACTATCTTTCCTTGCATCGAGATTAAGAACTGTCTCATATTCTTTCAATGAGGCTAAGCATTTCCTGCCTAATTGCATAAGGCTAAGCACTTCCTTTCCTTGCATCCAGATTAAGCACTCTCTCGTATTCTTTACATGAGACTAAGCATTGACCCCCTAATTGTATAAGGCTAAGCACTACCTTTTCTTGCATCAAGAATAAGCATTGTCTCCTCTTTTTGCATGAGGCTAAGCATTGCCTCCTTAATTGCATAAGGCTAAGCATTGCCTTTCCTTGTATTGAGACTAAGCATTGTCTCCTCTTCTTGCATGAGGCTAAGCATTGCCTCCCTAATTGTATAAGGCTAAGCACTGCCTTTCCTTGCATCGAGACTAAGCATTGTCTCCTCTTCTTGTATGAGGCTAAGCATTGCCTCGCTAATTGCATAAGGTTAAGCACTGCCTTTCCTTACATCGAGACTAGGCACTGTCTCATATTCTTTACATAAAGCTA